CTCGGATTGCAGTCTCAGTGCATTGTAATGCTAATTGAAGTGGAATACTTGTGAACAGTGATTTCACATCAAATGACACTAGTTTGTAGTCGTCAGGTATCTGAACAGTCTTGGTAGCGTTAATGAAGTCTTCAGTGGATTGTAGTTTATGTCTGGATTTGTCGGTTAGCGGTTGTAGTATTGTCGTCAGGTACTTGGATAGTTGGTATGTGGGAGAGCCACAGAAAGAAACAATAGGTCGCATCGGGAAACCAGGTTTGTGTAGTTTCGGCAAACCGTAGAGTTTCGGTGGCTGTGGTACCGAGCACCTCAGTCGATAGTACGATAGTCGATAGTACGCGACAGAAACAAACTACGACAACTACACGACCAACTGAAACAATTTATACCAACTGACCTATTTGACACCGTTACGACAATTGCCGACAAACGAGCCAACAAGACGACTGAACGCGCCCGAGGTTACCTAGGGTAGATGAGGGTGAACGTGGTAGAACGTGGGTTACCTAGGGTAGATGATAGTAAACTTGGCAGGACATTGGTTACCTAGTGTGGATGGGGGTAAACGGGGTAGAACAGGGGTTACCTATGATAGATGTGGCTGAACGTGGTAGAACATGACTAGAAAAGGGTAGATGGTAGTAAACGTGGTAGAACATGGGTTACCAAAGATAGATGATGGTAAACGTAGTAGAACAGGGGTTACCTAGGATAGATGTGGGTGAACGTGGTAGAACATGACTGGAAAAGGGTAGATGGTAGTAAACGTGTTAGAACATGGGTTACCTAAGAGAGATGATGGTAAACGTAGTAGAACATGGGTTACCCAGGGTAGATGATGGTAAACGTAGTAGAACCGGGGTTACCAAGGGTAGATGAGGGTGAACGTGGTAGAACGTGGTTTACATAGGGTAGATGATGGTAAACGTGGTAGGACAGGGGTTACTTAGTGTAGATGGGGCTAAATGGGGTAGAACATGGGTTACCTAGGGTAAACGTGTAGAACATGGGTTACCTAGGGTAGATGATGGTAAACCTGGTAGAACAGGGGTTAACTATGGTGGATGATGGTAAACGTGGTAGAATACGGGTTACCAAGGGTAGTCGAGGGTGAACGTGGTAGAAGATGGGTTACCTAGGGTAGATGAGGGTAAACATGCTAGAACATGGGTTACCTAGGGTAGATGATGGTAAACGTGGTAGAACCGGGGTTACCTAGGGTAGATGAGGGTGAACGTGGTAGAACGTGGGTTACCTAGGGTAGACGATGGTAAACGTGGTAGGACAGGGGTTACCTAGTGTAGATGGGGGTAAACGGGGTAGAACATGGTTTACCTAGGATAGATGATGGTAAACGTGGTAGAACATGGGTTACCTAGGGTAGATGATGGTAAACGTGGTACCACAGGGGTTATCTAGGGTAGATGAGGGTTAACGTGGTATAACAGGGGTTACCTAGGGTAGATGAGGGTGAACGTGGAAGAACATGGGTGACCTAGGGTAGATGATGGTAAACGTGGTAGAATACGGGTTACCAAGGGTAGTCGAGGGTGAACATGGTAGAACATGGGTTACCTAGGGTAGATGATGGTAAACGTGGTAGAACAAGGGTTACCTAGGGTAGACAGGGGTAAACGTGGTAGAAGAT